AACAGTGACCATGTAGTCAAAAGATAATCCAGCAGACGGGAGAATGAGGCATCTTAGTTCACGAAAATAAGAACAATCACCACTGTGCAGTGTATATTGTCTCCATCAACATACTAAAAAGGTAACCGGTTACAAAAACTTGGCTACAGAAAAATGTACTAGGCCTAGGGTCAAGAGAGGACAGATTTCCAAATCTTGATGCAGAGATATGCTTAAAAACCATAGTTGAGAGCCTTTGCAATGCAGGCACCTCTGGCTCTGATTTTGTAACCAACAGAGAATGACCCAGAAAACTGGTTTACATGCCCACATACTGCTGTCAAACAACAGTACATGATAAGACACATCAGAAATGAGGAGAGGGCCCAAATCATGCTCCAGGACCTTACAACTGAAGAGTGTTTTATCCCAAGGGAACACCTTGGGTTACACAGTTTGAAGAAGACAGCAAGCAAGAATGAGCCAAACCAACAAAGTTTTCCTGTATCTCGACTATCATCAACCAGTGGAAGTTTTCTGGACATTTCCCAAAAAGTAGCTAGAGTTTGAAAATTAGAAATAATTACGGACTTCTGAAACTACAGACACTTGATGGGCAGGGTCTCTTCCCATGCTACGGACAGGCCAAGTGCTTCTGCCCAGGGGATTATCAGGAGCTGGTAGCCCACAGCTGAGTGGCACCACAGTACACAAGGTACCTCAGAGAGTGGTCAGCTGGCCAACAGTCGCAGGGCTTGGTCAAGCACAAAGAATACACCTTTTTCCCCAAATCAAACTGCCTGAAGGTAAGCCATCTTTTCTCACTAAAGGAAGAAGCACAGAAAAATCTGTAGCAGAAATCTACATAAAAGGACTCGCTGTCATCTCATTCCTCCTTTTTACTTGTAATTTTGTTTTAATAAGGTTAGAGAATAGGCTAAGAAAGCTCAAGTGATGGGAAAGGACATTAAAACAAAAGAAAAAATAAAGCAAATGTATCCAAATTACTTGCAAAAAGTAATTTCTAAAAATATTGCTATTGTTTAGGTAATAAATGTATCCTTGAAATTTTTTTAGAAAAGGGATTTTTAAAATTTAAGTGTAGTCAGTTACAATGTTTCAATCTCCAGTGTACAGCATAATGTCCCAGCCGTGCATATATATACATATATTCGTTTTCATATTTTTTTATTATCGGTTACTACAAGATATTTAATACAGTTCCCTGTGCTATACAGAAGAATTTTTTTTAAATCTATTTTTATATATAGTGGTTAACATTTGCAAATCTCAAACTTCCAAATTTATCCCTTCCCACCCCCTTTCCCTGGTAACCATAAGATTGTTTATTATGTCTGTGAGTCTGTTTCTGTTCTGTAGCTGAGTTCATAGTGTCCTCTTTTTTCTTTTTTAGAAAAGGGATCCTTTTCAATGCCCCTGAGAAACTGATGATTTTAATAAATGGTACTAGGAATACATTTATAAAATAATTTATTCCAAAACCACCTTCTGTAATCACGACACATAAAATCCCTTATTAAATCCACAGAGAGAGAGAGACACAGATACACAGAATGAAGGAAACAGGAGCTGAGACTGAGAGGCTGGCAGAGAATGTGGAATGGAAGGTACAGAAGTCCAGCATCTGCACACATGATCTGATGATCTGGTTTACTGATCTGTGTGAGGCCCAGGAGAGCTACTGCCATGTATCCCCCAGAGTCTAGATTATGTGGACTACCTCCTTCGCCCAAAACAAAAACTGCTTTTCTTCCCATGCAGCCAAGTCTGCCAGTTCTGAGCCTGTCCCTCTCATCTCTCTACAGGCCTGAAGCCGCCCCTCACAAAGGTGCGGAGGGTGGCCCAGAGCTGACGTGGATCTCAGCTGAGGGGTGTGAGTGTGCCAGAAACCCCTGCAGTACCCCTCAGGCAGCAGATGGGGTGTGGGGATGAAAAAGCAAAACACCCGAGTCTAGTCTTTAGTTCAGGGTGGAAATGAATGGATCCTTATACACAACAATTACAGTATCACAACTGACCAGCCTCTAACAGTATGGTAGCATTGGTCAGTCTTTAAATCTACTGACACCGAGCATATAGGTTATTAAAGATTCTTGACCACAACAAGGATGACACACTATCTGCAATGTGTTTTCCTGGCTTATCTATATACGTTAAGGTCTCAGTAAAGCTGTAACTCATAATAAAAAATTCTTCTGAAAGATTTTTTTTTTAAAGCATTGCAGTAGACAGCAAGGAAAAAAATTAGATCTTTTTTGGAACTTAACTTCATATGTACTTTTTTTGGTCTCATATTGTTTTTATTTTTATTGCCATCATTTTTTAATTGCTTGGAATTTTTTTTTAAAGGTCTTACTTTGGCCCCAGGTAGGTAAAAGGAAACTGCACTGCAAAATTTTAGGCCTTTGTTTGGTTTAATCAGCACAAGCCATACCAACATGGAGACAGGCCTTCAACAGTAACCTTCCAGATGCTTCTGGGGGCTTTGGAGAGAGTTACGAAAAAGAAGACGGAAAAAAACAACTACTAGAGGTCATGAAGCCATAGAGTAATTTGTTGCTGAACAGCATGGTCACCAGATGTGGGGAAATACTTTCCAACAGTGCAATTAAAAACCAAGCATTCTCATCGTCTGCCTGAATTTATGTTAGAAGATAGCTTTCCCCCTTTCCTTTCTGGAACGGGTGAAACCTTTGATCCTTACCGAAGTGAGAGAGGAAAACAAATCTGTACCTTTTATTTGCTAAAAACTATGATAGGTTCAACCACCCCTGAAACAGAACGATCTAAACTACTTCACTGTCAGTAACTCCATCTATATATTAGTACTCAGAAGGTAACCAGTTGTCCCCAAATATTTTCAATACAATCAGGAAAAAAAAAATAGAAATCTGAAAGGTTGAATAACAAAGAAGTGCCATGTGATTCGATAGAAGGCATGGAGAATAAAACTTTGGGCTTGTGAAAAGAAACACAATACAGTTGACCTTTGAACAACAGTGGGGATTAGGGGCAAAGACCCCTGTGCAGTTCAAAATTCACATGTAACTTTACGGTTGGCTGTCCACATCAAGGATTCTGCGTCCAACGATTCAACCAACCATGGATTGTGTAGTACTATCATACTTACTGTTGAAAAAAATCTACATAAGTGGACCAGTGCAGTTCAAACCCATGTTGTTCAAGGGTCAACTGTATTTTTCCAAGCACACAGCATTTTTTAACATCAAAAGTATTATTCGAAGGTTACCCTGCAAGCCCTCAATTATATGCATAATCGACGATGATTTTGTCCATTTCCAATACAACTGCTTTCTTGAATTTTCAGTGTTATGTCTTTACAATGACTATTCCCAGGTCTTATGCCCTACGATTCCTCAATAAAGATGGATTTTTGGCCATAGCTTGTCTTGTAACTTCGTAATTGTATAGTTTCATATTATAACTTACAGCATATACATATTTCAATATACAGATAGGAAAAATTATTTGCATACTTATAAAAACCAGAGGAGGAAAAGTTTGAGATACAATATTTGGAAAGGCAAGATCGGGCTTTTTGGGAGCTGAAATGTAAACAGTTTTGAGTTCCCCTAAGAGGTCTAGAGCGATGTAATAGTCTTCTTGGTTCAGAGCAATGATTTCTAATCTTAGGTTTGTGACATACCTGGGGTGTCTCCAAGGTGTATCTGGGAGTGTTATAAAATTTCCTGCCACAAAATGCCAAGTAAATCATTTAAATTCATTTAAAAACTATGCCATGTATGTTTGGAGGCAAGGGAAGGTGTTCTGTAATCAAAAGAACAAGTATTACAGAAGCTTTTTCCCTGTCAATTATACTTCAGTCCAAACCAACTGATGAATAGATAAAATAAACAAAGGAAATTAAACAAGATGAGATAATCGGTATGTATGATTTTGTGGTTGGGGGAGACAGGGAAGGAGCTGGTTACCTGGAACACTATTTTAGTAGACAACCCCTTTTGACCCCTTTATTTATTTACTAAGGCCTGAATTAGCGCAGACTGGCAACTGGAAACCCAGTCATTGCTCCTAAACATTGGTGCCTTCAAGGTGGCTGAGGGGATCTCTTACGCAGTATTAGTTTCTTTAAAACAATCAACCAACAAATCACAGACACTGGCAGCTAAGAAGGGTAAGCTTAACTTCATTTTGTCAGTTTCCCCCTCAGCTTCTGACTTCAGTGGTTATCCTGAGATTATGTGGGGTTATACATCCTTACTCTGCAATATCCAGTTCTTAACTTCCTTGGTCACAAGGTTAGGAACTAAAACACCCCTGTGGGTTTGCCACTGGGGAAGCTAATTTATAGCCATTACATTTTACTATAGCTTCCAAGTTTCCAATAAAATTTTCTGATGGGTTACCGCCTCAGGCTTCACAGTGTTTTTTATTGAGAACACCCATTTCAGTCACCTGATAAATCTCAACATGGATTTCTTCAAGAGATACACACATCTGCACTCACACATCACTGAAAAAAAAAACTTTTAAGAAAATTAAAAAAATAGCTTTATGTTTTTCTTAATTTATTACTGTATTATTTAATTATTTTATTTTGGTGGGCAGGAGGTAACTAGGTTTGTTTTTAGAGGAGGTACTGGGGATTGAACCCAGGACTTCATGCATGCTAAGCAAGCGCTCTACCACTTGAGCTATACCCTCCCCCTAAAAGAACTTATTTTTTTCATTAAACAGGCCTGCCTTTCCCTAGAGAACCCAACTTCACTGTTTACTTTTTATTTTTCATATCATTGCCTATTTAAATTCAGACCCACATTTTACATAAGCCCTAGAATTCCAGCGAGAAATTTCTTACCAAGTAATTTTCATTTAATCCTCCATCTATCCTGCTAATTGTGTGCCAAGAAGACCAAAGACAAGTTCCTTTTAAACTAGGTCTTTTGTATCACACTTCAAAAGTCTCAGAATCAAATATCTGAAAGCTGTAAGAAAGAGAAACAAAAAAGTATGCTTGCCTTATTTGTAGCAGTAGCACTGGATCCAGGGACCACGGGCACATTCGTCACTTGAACCGAAAGATAATTATTATCTATGAGTGGCCAGGCTCCTTCCACTTTGCATGTCTGGAAGTGATCCTTGAAAGTTCTAAGGTGAGGATCTCCGAACAAGCCACAAAAAAGGTAACTGGGAAGGTTCTGGTCCCCAACCCTGTGTTCTCTGGCTCCTGCGTGGCTGTGATAGTTACAAGGGTCATGGGTCACTTCAGGGTTGGTAGAGGATGTAGGTCCGTCCTTGGAACAGTTCCTCTGGCTCATGAGGTCACTGATACCCAACACGGCAGAATGGTAGACTAGGTTACCACGGCAGGCTTTTGAAGTTCGCTGGGTGCAGCCAGCATAGGCACGCAGAGCCTTGCAGAACTCAGAGTCAAAGCCATCAATGGCAGAGTTCAGGTGTGAAGTCAGGGACACAAAGTCTGTGGTACATTTCTGGATTCGACATTGGGCCGGCTGTTGGCAGTCACCTGTGGGAAAGAAGATAAGACCAAACATTTTTTAAACGCTTCACAACTCCCTGAGCTACATGAGAAAATGACATTCTCCTCTGGGAACTGTTTGTTCTATTTCATGGACTCCTATTTTAAGAAGGCCGTCAGAAATAGGGCTGTATTGTGCTTCCGGGCCTCTCACAAAGTATGCCACTGGGAGAAAAACTGCATGCAGCTAGTTAACTTTCAACTTTAAAGCATGGACCATTGTGAGTAAACAGGAGTTGAGCCCAGTGTTCTTAAATTAAATTAAATTTAAATTACAAGGGAATGATAAATGAAATATTTGATCAGCTTTGCTATTGCTTATAGATTTTGAGAAAGATTAGTTTGGTCTAAGGCCAAGTCAAAGATGTGAACTTTGTTTTGATTTTTGAAAACTACATAAGTAATTTGCTTTGGAAAGCACTGTCTATGCACAAAACCACGAATAAACTCTGTGTACTTCAGGGAAGTGAAACCCCTAAATTATAACACGGTTAGTTAAAACCCCTTTATCCAATTCTAGTACAGCTATAGGGAAAGAATACCAAGAGAAAAAAAATCCAAATACTAAATTATTCTGCATTTTTGAGGGATGCTTATCAACAAATTGTAAATAAACTAACACTTAAATCTCCTGGTTTCTACAAAGTGTAAATGTTCTCTTGAAAAAATAAAGTGATTGCTTTGACCAAGTTAGTCACTTATCCTGCAACGTCCATCACCCTAGGAGTCCAGCTCCCACACAGTTTATCAGTAGAAGTACACTGCATCAAAAAGTACACAACAGTGACAGGTGAGTCCGCCAACTATGTTTTTTTGTTTTTTTTTCCAGAACCAGAGGACTACAGGACATAGAATTCTTAGAGGATATATAAACTACTTTTTCCCTTAAATCAGCAATTCACATAAACTTTATAATTTAAGCAAAGCTAAAAGGAAGTAATGAAAAATCATGTATTACTGCCCTACTATTTAAAAAGTAATTTTCAAATAATGTTTTGGCCCTAGCTTCTCATATAAAAATTTATAAAACCATTCAAAGCAAAAAAAGCAGAACGAGCTGCCTAGTAGAACATACTACGTCAGTGGTGTGCACCAATCAATTTAATACCATATTCCATAAAGTAGGAACACCAGAATTACTGAGAAGAAAAATACTTTTATCACCCATCTAAGACTTTCTAGAAATGAACTGTAACACGTATTTGTGTTACCTGCACATTCTCTCTAGGTCTCTAAGCTATGGAGGAGACTTAGACTCTTCAGATCTTAAGTTCTTCATCTGAGAAATGAGTAGGTTGTTCTAAAGTAAAAACTGTGATCTTTTCCAGGCATAAAATATTTATTGTAGGCAGGGGGAAAAAAATCAGTCAGTAGAGTATTATTAAGTATATAATTATTCAAGATTGGGGCATAACAAAACTTCAGGATAATATCAAGATTTAAGACTTCATCGGATAAAGACTAAAACTAACACTAATAATCATCTTAGGAAGATATTTTAATCTTTTCAGTAGTAAACTGCTTTTAAACCTGAATGAAACAGCCTGTAATCTGTTTCTGGCATCAGCTAGAAGAAAAGGGAAGGAGGTGACAACCTCTCAAGATGCTTCCCCCACCTTTTTTAAATTTCAAAGACCAAAAAGAGAAAAAAAATTTAGTCAAGATTAGGTATTTGATTTAACACAAGTGAAAAAGAAGATTAAAATATTTTAATATTTTGCTGCTATGGATTTATAGCTATCACTAAATCACAATTTAAAAAAATCACAAACACATCTTTATGTGTTTGGCCTCTTTTCTATTAGCTCATTCCAAAGTTGACAAAAGCAGCTCCAATATTTATAGAATTCCTCTCTCCAAAGTAGATCAGATCATTTTTCAACTATTTTCACTCCAAAAAGCAAAAATGTAAACAAAACCCCAATTAACCAGCAACCCTAAGAGGCATTAAAGCCATTTTACAGATAGGAAAATCCTGGCTGGATTATAAACAGCTAGTATGAAGCTCAGGGCATGGTGCCTTCCCTCAAATCCTGTTTTCCTTCCTCTGCATGTCACATCTCCACTAGATTCCTGATTCTCAAGACAATACTTGATAGCTTAAAAAAAGATCAGTAACTACTGTGTCATTTCTTTTTTCTTTTGAAATCAGATTCACAATAAGCAGAAAGCAAGAAAATAAACTGGGCCAAGATCACTCAGTAATGAATAGCTCTTAGACTACATACAAATGACAGCACAAGAACTTTCCGCTAAACTTGCAGTGACTATCTGTTCTTTTTATGGTCTATAAAATCTATGCAAGCATGCACTCACTTATAATTATTTCAAATGGTCATAAAATTTCAAAAGTAAGACCAGCATGGAAACACAGATGCAACTGTTTAGAAACGAAAAGAAAAGCAGGATTTAGATTCCCAGCTTCTTTTTTTGTCCCTTTCCTCCCGCTCCCCCCCTCCCCCGCCGCCTCCATGCATAGCAGGTAGGTGCCGATTCATTTGAGAAATCTCACAGAAAACAGAAGTCCTTGGGTTCCTTTGTTTTGGACGAGGTTTCTAACAGCCTTTCTGAATAGAGATGACAGGAGGGAGGAGGACTCACTAGAGACAGTGCATTCGGGTCAGCAGTTTCAGCTCCTCCACAGGCTCCTGTATAACGACTAATTTGCTGTATACACCCAGAAATATCCAGGCTTCATGAATTTATAATGACAATGCACACTGACTGTTATAAGCGGTAAAGTAAGCCTGTCAAAATGCCAAGACAATGGCTGAGCAGAAACAATCGCAAGGATGTAGCCAAGAAGGCCATGAAGCGTATGAGTAAGCAAGGAACTCCCATATTGGATCTCCATTCAGGAAGTGCATAAGTTTGCTTACAGGGAAAAAAAAAAGTAAAAGCACTCTTCATTTCTCAAGGGCAGAATTCAAAATCTACAGCTACAGATCTATTTTTCAAATCAAATCATCTATGAATGGTGTGACAGTATTTTCATTCCAGTAAGTGAAATTTACTAAAGGATTTGTGGGTCTAGAGTTTTTATTAATGATTCAGACATAAAAACCTCACCATTCAAGACAGTTTTCTCAGTGCCAGTATGGCACATGTGAATCTGCAGTCCAATCACCAGTTTATGATAAAAGAAACGAGATATGCTGAAGTGAACAAAATGAGCCATATGGGGTGATGAGGCAAATTATATGGATCCAGGCATAAAACATATGGTAGCCCATCTGCAAAGAGTACTCAGCTAGGCTCCCTGCTCTGAGCAGAAACAACCCCAGCATTTCAATAGCACTGCTCTGCAAAGAAATCTCTCAAAAGGAGCCCTCTTTTTTATAACCAGATTAATCGCTCCATTCCAACAAGCTGTCCACAGATATCACTCACCACAGCAACTCTGGGAAGATTCTAACAGAGGCTTTAGTGCGGGCACATTAGGATACTGAGAGAAGTTTCATATTCCAAGTTCGTGAACTGAGGCACCTTAATTTTCTAAACCTTTAAGCCAACTTCTTAGGCCTTTCATGGGCCCAGCAAAGAAATCTTCAAGGACCACATTCCAATCTTGTTTATAGGACCCTATGGCAACTAAGGGAAACAATATCGAAGCAGTCAAGAGGGACACAGTCCTGCCTACTACTTCAATTTCCGTTTCAAGAAACCTACACTCTGACATTATGGACAGTGATTTTTCACACAAAACACTCCTGAACAGATTATTCTGACACATCATGAAAAATTTTCCATGTAACTGTAAGCTGATTCGTATTATTTCCTAAGGTTCTAAAGTTACTAACTTACAGCCTTAATCATTGTAAAACTTGGTATTTACACACTTTATTAAGACTTCAGTCTAGGTTTCCCCAAGAGACAGTGTTAAAATGCAGCTGTTACATCACAATGCAAAGTTACACAAAGTAAATTAAGTCGTCTCCTCAAATGACACATTTTTCCTCCATTACTTAAAACACCTCCCGGATTTTTAACACCCCTAGTATGACTTAATAAATAAATAAATAAATAAATAAATAAATAAAAATTACTCTGTACAGTTGGGTGGCATTAAAGCCCAGGATTCTCCAGATTGCTGTCCTACAAAGATAGGACAAAAAGATCTCGAAGAAAAACTTATCTAATGCTCTAGTTGTTCTCAAACTAAAAGATAAATTATCTTTCAACTTGATATTTTAAAAAGTTCTTTGTCTAGACACACTCCGAGAAGATACTTGTTTGTAAAGAGCGTCCTGGATTTTTTTCCTCCAGTTTTATTGAGATAAAATTGACATACTGTGCCAATGAAATCATTTAAAAAAGAAAAGTTAAGTATCACATACTAAAAGGCTCATCTTCGCTAAGATCAGCGAGGAAGGCGTACTTTGCTAAGAACAGATTTCTCACAGCTGCTTCCACAGGCGAAGCGCCGACCTCCAGACGGAAGTATGAGATCTGTCAACCTCTCCTGGGACCCGAAAACACGCGGCCAGTCACAAAGTACGAGTTTTTCCAAAAAGGTTGAAAGCTGAGTTAAAAGCAGCTCTCGCAAATACAAAAGAAATTCCAGTTTAAAGAAGTTTAAGTTACTTTGGGATTAACCCCTAGGTTTTCAAACTGTGGTGGAAATCTTTCCATTTGGTGCGATTTTTCGCCTCGCCGCCCCTCCCAACTCAGGAGCAGCACAAGGCTCCTAGCCTCCCCTCCGAGGAGTCGGCGGCTGAGGTGGAAACCTGATCCCAGCCTGACTTTCAGTAAACACCAAAGCAGAGTGCAATAAAGCATCCGGAACATTTGTCTCCGGCGCGCAGCCCCCGCCCGCTACATCTTTGATAAGTGGCTGTTGGAGGGGAGATTTATCAAAGGTCCGAGCCGAAGGCGGGCAAGGCAGGAGGCAGGGCGGGAGGGGATGAGGCCTCTCCCCTGCGCTCTCGGAGCGCCGCTCCGTCGGCGAGTGTGTTTCTGCAGGAGAGCCGCAAGCCCAGCTAAGGTGCATGTCAGGGGGTGGTGAGGCCTTTCCCGCCGCCCTTCCGCCCCAGCAAGCGCCTTCGGGACGTGGGGTGTGGAGAAACAAAGCACTCGGCCCTAGGGCTGGCTCCCCTCGAGGGCGCGTCTCGTACCTGCGTGGAGCAGCCCAAGGCTGAGTAGCAGCAGCAACAGCAGCGCCAGGGGCGGCGGGCAGAGCCAGGGGCGGCGGCGCTGCTCAGCCCTGGCGGTAGCGGCGGAG